GGGGGGAGGGAGAGTGGTATTTTAAGTGTTCACCGAGAATTGCTGCAGCTCTTTGAATTTAACTGTAGTTTCTCCGTTAGATCTATAAAGTCCGTGATCTTGTTGACACAACATACCACAATGAGAACCTTTTGGTCATTCTTGAAGGACTTAATCTCAGCTGTTTGTCAGCCATTATGTGTTAAATGCTCTCTTAAAAGTCATCAAGCAAGAGTGGTATTTTAAGTGTTCACCGAGAATTGCTGCAGCTCTTTGAATTTAACTGTAGTTTCTCCGTTAGATCTATAAAGTCCGTGATCTTGTTGACACAACATACCACAATGAGAACCTTTTGGTCATTCTTGAAGGACTTAATCTCAGCTGTTTGTCAGCCATTATGTGTTAAATGCTCTCTTAAAAGTCATCAAGCAATATCAGTATTTGCTGGGTTTACTTAATAGCCCTTCTGCCTAAAGAACTTGAACTCATGTTTGTTCCAGGTTCATAGTTCTTACAAATCACTACTACCTAAAGGCTTTTGGTGAATGGTTTTAGCCCAGTTCCTGATTTCAAACATTGGAAATTCCAGCTCAGAAACTGTCACAATTCAAATGCCTTGGCAAGGCAGCTGCTTGGAGAGGAAGCCAAAGCTCTAATTGTGCAATCAAAGGTTCTAAAATATGAAAAGGAAGAACACCCGTGACAAATAATTCTGCTATGAAACAGAGTGTGTGCCTTAGCTGTGGGAAAACAGTGGATTTCCTCTCCTAACGAAACAATCCAAAGTCACTCACAGGTGATGCGTGTGTAAATGCACACCTCTCCTCATTTCTAGGAGTGGTATCGCATTTTGGAGGCACAACCACTGTAGAGAAATTATGACCTAGTTTAACGTATGGCTCAAAATCTGCTGGTGCAAAATAACATGGGCACGGTGAGTGTGGCAGTTAATCGTAGCTACGGTAGATGGGGATCATCAGACACTCCCTTTGGCATAGTCCTTTGGGAAAGGAAAGGTTGAGACGACAGGAATTGGGAGCTGTAGATTCATGAGGGAGACAACAGATTAATGAGAAAACAAGCAAGACACCAACAAGTGTGCAGGACAGTTAAGGTGACCCAACCAAAACAAGAACATATCTTAGGTAGTGGTTATCAGTAAATTTGCCACACCTCTGTTGCAAACATGCAAGCGTCTTTGAAAGTCTGGCCTTGACTATCTGTCCACAGTCTGAGTGCTGCACTGACTGCACTCATCTATCTGATACAGATAGGGCTCTGATCTCTCTGAAGTCTTTTGTCTCTCCAAACCAACTCTGTTGTGGCATTATGGTGATGCAAGAGGAGGCAGGATGGCATAGTTGTGCAACAACAGGGATGGTTAAAAGAAAACAGGATGGATACATGTGCTCAGGTGTGAAGTAGCCCGGTATCAGATCCAAAAATATGGGAAAGCTGGAGATAAAATGTCAACAAATCCCTGGTGCTTGTTTCAACATGTCCTAAAGTGTACTCTTTTCAGATAGAAAACTTGCAAACATTAAGATGCAGGGATGAAAAAGTGTAGTTGTTGACATCTAGAACTTGGAGCAATACAGTTGAAACCAGTACTAAAAAAGTAATGGACAGAAAAGCTTGTGATTCTGGTTTAACACCCGAGAGTACTCAAACTTCTAAAGCAAATGACACATCAGCATAACGCTAGGAAACTTGAACTGATCCCATGTTTGGTCATTTTCACAGCAAAATGTGTTGAGACTAGAAATAAAAGCCCCAACTATTTTCAACTTCTTTGTAAATCACTACTGGTAGTGGAAAGCCGACCTGAGCTAATTCTGTGAACACTGGTAGGACTACCGGTTCTGTAATACGGATTGATGGTAGGTAAGGCGTGACACATAACAGCAAAGATTATGTTGAGACGTAGCTTGCAGTAGGTATTATTTCTCTCTACACACACCAAAGAAACCATACCGTTTTAGCCTTAGTACCAAGCGCAGTAGCACAATGTCAATCACTTAACTCCACACGTCAAGCAAAGAACCAGTGAATTGCAGCAATAATTTTCCAAGAATGACTGTGTTAAAAATAATTATTATAGAAGTGCTAAAGAGCTAAGCCAAACGCCAGGG